GGGGACGTGGGGAGGACGCTGTTTCAGGTCCTGTCTGTTTATATGGCGATGTCGGCGGTCTGCCTACTTTGGGAGTATCCATCACCTGCTATCCAGGTAGTTGATATGAAATAAAAACAAATTAAATACAGGTTGATGGGTCTGGTGTGTACGAATTTGTGTAAGACTAAAAAAATAAAATCATTATTGATTCTTAAAGATTTAGGTAGCCCAGGGAAGGGCAGTGAACATTCATTCTATGTGTACTGAAGTTATTTGTGAAATAGAACTATAGGTCTACCTTAAAAACACAAAACTATTCTAGACCTGGATAAAAGGAAACAGAAAGATATAGAAATAGTTCGCCATTATTCCAGCCAATGCTACTTCATTTATGTCTTCCAGTTGTATTTTTTATTATTAGAGATTTTACTTCTAACAATGTTCTAGAATTCTGTTTAAAGTCTAATTGTAACGAACACTTGAAGAAAAGTGTAGCTTGTTGTCATACTTTAAGAATATTCTGATAATATTATGCTGTGATAATAATATTATAATTATGGTGATATAAAGAAAAATGTGCAGGCTTGGGGCATAAATTTTTCTCCAAAATGGCATTGCTCATATTCTTGAAAGAAGAGGAAGTCGGACTTCACGTGCCACAGAGAGGCAACATGAGATCAGTAGAAGTGGTGTGACCAGGCGACCAAGAATGGTGTCTAGCCCCATGGGTGACAGGTGCAGAAACCACAGTGGAAGCTGTCACTGCCTCTGCTGCGTCAGTCCACTGAGATTGACACTCAAGAAGATGGATTCCCGGGAAAGTTACTCAAAAGCCATCTTCATAAACAAATTCGTACAGAGATAGTCACACCATCAGGAGGACACATAGAGGCAAATAAAAAAGAGACAAGGGAACAAAAATCAGCCTGACATCAAGGATGTTTTCAAGAATGGCCTGAAGCTTTTCCTTTCATTTGACTCTGATCATTAGCTTCACAAACTTTCAACAATATCACAATAATTGATGGTGTAGTGGTGTCTCTGACTCCAAGAAGAAGTTATGTTTATTATTTTCTATTTCAAAATAATAATACTCCTAATAATAGCCAGCAGGCATTAAGTTTGTACTTTTAATACTATGTGCTAAGCATATTTCTTACTTTATTTTCCCCAAAACTATCCTCTTAGGTGACCGTGTAACCATAGAAATGCAAACACTACACTAGCCTGCCCTTTCACCTATCAAAAATATCAGATAAATATTTCAGTGAAGGTATTCATTGCTAGTGGGGGTGCTGCAAGTTAGGAGTGTTGACGCCATGCTGATCAGAGTGCACAGCGCTGCAAGCTTAAAAAATCAATCTGCAGACATTTACCAAGAGCCTGTAAAATGTTCATACCATTCAATCATCTTGTTTTTTCCTAAGATATAACACAAAATACAGAAAATCTTGGTGCACAAAGACGTGCCTCAGAGCATTGTTTAAAATAGATAAAGAAATAATCTAAAATGTCTCCAAATAAAATAACAGAATAGGAAACTTCAGGATATATCATGTAGCCATTCAAATACTATTTATGAAAACATATTAATTACATGGGTATATGCTTATGTTATTTTCCTCTTGTCACAGGAAATAAGGTAAAATTAAAATGGAATAAATGGTAACACAAAGTTCCTGCCCTCATGAAGGTTCCATTTTAATGGGAGAGAGGGAGAATAATAAACAATGAAAAATGCTAGAAATACTATTAAAAGAATTTAAAGCATGATCAAGTGCAGAAACTCCAGAGAGTGGCCAGTTGAGGAACAGAGATCACTCAATTCATCTGGAAGACGGGGGAAGGTCTCTCTGAGGAGGTGAGACCCGGAAGATGAGAGTAGACCTTTATTGTGTTACTAATCTATGCTGAGTAATCGATGCTTAAATTTGCACCTGCCTTAGAAACCACATGCAAACTTGCGGCCTCTCTGAGCCTGTGGTGACCTCCCTTCCATGCTATGGTGCAAGGCTCAGTGTAGCAATATTGAATCTCTCCTGGGATGGCAGTTTGGCCCTGTGTCTGTAAGTCTGTTGTTTGGACCATAGCTATGATGGTGCACCTTCCTACCACTCTGTCCTTTCATGACTCACACTCACAATTCAATGAAAAACAGGAGAGAACTTTACCCATGTACAGAGTTCCCTAACATCGAAATCTTCTGAGTTCCTTTGCCTCCTTGCTGTGTATTTAAAATGATGATTCGTCTACCTGTTTTCAAAAGGGAACTCAGGCAATCTGAACAGAGTGGGGATTGTATAGGCTACACTCTTCAGCTGTAATACAGTTAATACTCTGCTTTTCTTCCGCTTTAAATATATTTGTAATCTACAGAGGATTTTCTCAAGAGATAGGAGCTTTGCGTTTCCAAATACGCTTATAAACAACTAAGCATTTCGAGATCATAACTGCAATAAAAATATGTAGGATATCACCTTACCCCAGTCAGAATAACTTTTATCAAAAAATCCAAAAACAGTAGATGCTGGCATGGATGCAGAGAGAAGGGAAAGTTTATACGCTGTTGGTGGGACTGCAAACTAGTGCAACCTCTATGCAAAACAGTATGGAAAGTCCTCAAAGAACTGAACGTAGACCTACCATTTGATCCAGCAATCCCATTATTGGATATCTACCCAAAGGAGAAGAAGTTATTTTTTCAAAAAGACACCTGCACTCAAATATTTATTGCGGCACAATTCGCAATTGCAAAGATATGGAATCAACCAAAATGGCCATCAATTAATGAGTGGATTAACAAAATGTGGCATGTGTATACCTAGAGTGCTTACTACTCAGCCATGAAGAAGAATGACTTAATGCCTTTTGCAACAATTTGAATGGAACTGGAGACCATTATCCTAAGTGAAGTATCTAAAGAATGGGAAAACAAACACCACATATACTCACTATTAAATTGGAACTAACCGATGAGCACACATGTGCACGGAGGGAAGTAAAACTCATTGGAAATCAAGCAGGAGGGAAGCAGAAGGGGGAGGAGAGGATGGGTGAAAACCTACCTAACGGGTACAGTGAACAATAGCTGGGTGACAGGCACACTTTTAACCCTGACTCAATCATTACAAGGCAATCCATATAACCAAAAACATTTGTACTCCTGTAATACTTTGAAATTTTTTTAAATGTAGTATATTATTTTAGGCATGATAATTTTATTATAAGTGCCTTATAAATCATAAGAAATAGAATTTTTTTCTTCATTGGCTTGCCTAGGGTCCCTCTTACTAACAAATGCCTTGAAGGCAGCCCATTGTTTTCCAAGTCACTCATCTCTGCTTTGTGTGACCTGCCACAAAAGCATTTAGTGGATTTTGACACAGGCAAACAGAAATGACAGATGCATCAGTTTAGACCTTAACCTTGTGTGCTTTCAATATAAAACATACAAAATTCTTTTGAACTTTTCAGTTGTCATTTAAACCATAATATGGTGTCAGCATAATGTGTCTAACAGGAAAATAATTCTAGGTCAACATACTTCTCCCAAAGTTACCTTCAAATGCAAAAACGGTGAAACTTCAAGACATTGTTTTCATTTTCTTCTGCTAGATAAACTGAATGTCTTTGAGGATCTCCACCTTTTAGACCACAAATTCTAACCTCATTTTTATGCATTAGATTTTGTTTTATTTGAAAATATAAATTTATTTTTCGTGGTGACACCCTTGAAATGAGAGTTCAGCTTCATAAGGCTCATACCATAGTGATTAAAAGTTCTGATTTATCAAATGTCCCCCCTGCCACTGGCTAAATTCCAGAAGTTGCCAGAAATAAGTTTGCTTTTTCTGAACTCTTGTAGTACATTGTATATAGCATTTATCTATCATATGTTACCATGTATTATCACTCAAACTATATTTTAAACCTGCTGAGGACAGGGAACTTGTTTTAAAGATGTCTGTATTTCCCACTACAATGCATTATTATAAGGCATCCAATGAATATATGTAATGAATTAAAAAACATATAAGATAATAATGAAAACAGCCTATAATTTGAACATGTGAATGATACAGAACATTTGGCCCAAGGTGATGCTGGTTTCAGACACTTACCCAGTGCTGATTTCTGAGAACTTGTGACTACCCCGCATGCACACACTGTTACACAGCGCAGTTTGGAGACCACGTATGTGCTTTTTTACAGACTTCAGCATTGGGCTGAGGGTGGCGTGTGAGCACAAAGTCATAGGAGCAAACTAGGCACAAGTCTTCGTATCCTTTTTGTAAAGTAGATCACTGTGCTGGCACCACAGTCCTGCAGTAATTAATTGTGTGTGGTTCCTTGTTTTATTGTGCACATCTTATGTTACAATATACTCAAAAGCAATTGATTATTTATGTACCATATATTTTTATTTTGTGAAATGGGTTTGTTGCCCCCACCTACTGGATGAGAAAATGAAAGTTTATAGGGTGAGGAAATTACAGATGATTATGTGGCTAGTTAAGGGACAGAGCTCGAATGTGAGCCGATGTCTCCTTGGTTCTAAAATCCACTGGTTGTCTGTGTGACCTGCTGCTGTCCACCTGCTAACAATGGAAATGTCTGGAATCATGACAGAAAAGTCACGTAAATGTTCCTGAGAGAGTCAGTGGGGAAAGTATAACCCTAAGACACATCCAATTAATATTCTATAAATTCCGGAACATAATTTTGCCACTTCTCATTAACAACATATTCTCCTACATCTTCAACGCTTGAGATGCCTGTAATTCTAGAATAGAGACTAGGAATCTTTGTATTACTGTCCTCAGTATAATCAGTGCAGACTTTAAGGAACTAGCAGTTCTGTGGAAGGAAAAATAAAACTATGCCCTCTGTTAATGGGCAAAGTTATAGGGAGCGATTTGTTCAAATACATGTAAAGTAAAAGTTTAGGTGCTTGCTATCAAGCTATGTATTATTCATAAAGCTTGAAGCGATTTTGTGTGTGTCGTGACCTGTTACAGTGTGAGTACCTAAATGAAGATGTCGATGCTAGAGTCATTGAATATGAAGATAACCGGCCCCTCCTAGATATGTTTCTGCAGAAGCCAATGGGCTTGCTCTCCCTGCTCGACGAAGAAAGTAGATTTCCCAAGGCCACCGACCAGACTCTTGTAGGTGAGTTTTAAATCCACTATGTCTGCATGATTTTATGAATGCAGTGATGTAATTCTGCATGGTTTTTAAATTGCTTGAAAGTATCTGGGAAAAACAGCTGCCACGAAGTCTGCATATCTGACGTTGAAGAAAAGGCTGAATTATTTAGTGATAAATTAAACAAGTTTGGATACTGTGCTTCTTATTTTATGGTAGAGCCCCAACCATAGAATCATAGGTTAGTAATGACCTTAGAAATTATCCAGCCCAAATTAGAAGGACAGCTCTAGGATCTGAAAAGGAAGCTAACCAGCAGGAAATAAATTAATCTGTGATGTTCTGTTCTGTTCATTTATTTAATAGAGGCAAATAGCCTCAAATACCTTAATAACCTCTAAGTTTCAGTACATTAATAAATGTTCATGATAATAATCCTGAGTCATCAAAGAAAGATTAAATGTATTTTTTCTGTTTGAGAAGGCAGAGATGTGATAATATATTTTAAAAGATTACCATCCAAGATAGTTAAAATGAAAATGTCCTGCTCCTTAAATTAAAAAAAGAAAAAAACTGTAGATTTTTCAGATATCTGAAAAAGTTGTTTTTACTGTGGAACACTATATTCCCTGATGATAGGAGATATTTGTTATGTATGATAAGTACCTGCAGAAAATTTAGATTCACATTTTCCCTCCCTTACTTTTGGTGATACGCAGAGCCTGTTTCTTATCATCAAGTCTGTGATGTTGCTTCCTTGTGACCCACTAATTGGCTTATTCCCTCCTCTAACTGGATAACACTAGACGGAAAAGAAAATAACCCCAAGGTGGCAGGGAAAATAATTTCATAGCAGTCGCTGGATTTTGATGTCAAATGTTCCTAGGACATGGAATGACAAGGTCTCCGAAGGTGATAGAATTGTTATAGAAATATAACGAACTTTATAATCCTATTGTGCCTTTTCTGTAATCAATAATAATCCATAGCTCCTCAGAAAGGAGAACCCAAACATCAAATTTTTAAACTCATGGCTTGCCATCAAACTGTGTTTCACGAATCTCTTTGACTGGTTGGTCTCAAGTGGTTCCCTTCCTCTGGACCAGCAGTTCTCCAAATGTGGTCCCCAGGCCAGGGGCATCAGCATCACCTGGCAACTTGTTAGAAATGTGGATTCTTGGCCCCCACCCCAAACCTACTGATCAGAAACTACTTCAGGGATTGGGCTCAGCAACCTGTTTTAATAAGCCCTTAAGGGGACTCTAATGCATACTACAGTTTGAGAACCAGTCTCTAAACCTTAATGGAATGGTAACAAGTCATGATCTTGAGTTCTGCTTTACAATTTATAATTATATATTAAATCTGCTTATATAAGCTACATAAAACTTTCCACCTTCATTGTGCATTTCCTTTTTCTGGTGAGGGAAATGATTCTGACAATATTTTTTGAGGATCTCCTACATGCTTGATATTGGGGTTCATTTTTTCTACAGAAAAATTTGAAGGTAACCTGAAATCACAGTACTTTTGGAGACCCAAAAGAATGGAACTTAGTTTTGGCATTCACCATTATGCGGGAAAGGTAAGAACTCTTGAGAATTACAACTGAGTTTTTTAGCCTTTTATTGAATAATAAGGACAGTCATGAAGATTATGGTACAAAATATTTCTAGATGGTTATGATAAGCTGGCCCTCTGTTTCTGCCCCCATCCAGCCCTCGTTCTGCTCTTCTGGGTCCTGAGCTACCCCAGATAGACAGAATTGGCCAATGGACTGCTGTGCAGTTGGAGGAAGAAATGTTTCTGGGTTCATAGAGACATGTTCCCATACTTCAGATATGTTGTCCTGCACCCAGAGGATGCTCCCCTTCTTCTGTGGAGAATAATGAGTCATTCCCTCACAATGATATTATAAATATTGGGGGGCTGAGAAGATACGAAATCAAGAATGTATAAAATGAGAAATACATTTAAAAAATAATACACAGAACCTCAAGCATTCTAGTCCAGTTGGCAACCTCCATGTGTCTTTATACTTTTGTCATTAAAAAGTATACCTTGGCCGGGCGCGGTGGCTCACGCCTGTAATCCTAGCACTCTGGGAGGCCGAGGCGGGCGGATTGCTCGAGGTCAAGAGTTCGAAACCAGCCTGAGCGAGACCCCGTCTCTACCATAAAAATAGAAAGAAATTAATTGGCCAACTAATGTATATAATATAAAAATCAGCCGGGCATGGTGGCTCGTGCCTGTAGTCCCAGCTACTCGGGAGGTTGAAGCAGGAGGATCGCTTGAGCCCAGGAGTTTGAGGTTGCTGTGAGCTACACCACGGCACTCATTCTAGCCTAGGCAAGAAAGCGAGACTCTGTCTCAAAAAAAAAAAAAAAAAAAGTATACCTTAAATTATTTCAGTTATAGCTTTCCTTTTGAGCTTTAGCATATGATCTTCAGCATATGATTTTTCTAAATAAAGCCTCCTTTAAACGTCCAGGAAGAATTGCCTGTGATCATGTTATCCAGTTGTCTGGCTGCCATAACAAAAATACCACTGGCTGGGTGGCTTAAACAACAGAAATGGATTTTCTTACAGTTCTAGAGACTGAAAGTCCAAGATCAAGGTGCCCCTAGCAGGTTGGCACCTGGTGGGCCTCTCTTTCTGATTTGCAGACAGCTGCCTTTTCAGTGTGTCCTTTTCTCTGTGAATGGGTGGGGGGAAGGTGGGAAGAGATACATCTGGTGTCTCTTTCTGTTTTTATGAGGACACAGGCCCTACTCCTATATCTCATTTAACCTTAATTATCTCCTTAAAGGCCCTGTCTCCAAATATTAGTACCATCACAGGGAAGTTTGAGTTTTTAACATCTGTATTCTGGAAGAACACAATTCAATCCATACCAACTGTTATATTGGATCATTCTGTGGGAATTTTTGGATTACACTGATCTTTTTAAAAATCTTAAAATTATTTAGAGGTGCCAAAAATGCAAACACCTGCAATGTATTTAGACCACACTACTATGAGATAAAAATCTAGCATGGCCAATTCAATGCAGGTGAATCAATGATCCTAGAAGCAGGAATGCCTTGGTGGTCCAATGTGCTTCCTTGTTGCTGCCCCCATGTCTCCAAATAGAGAGAAGAAACATAACAAATCCCCAACATAATAAATGGGAGGAATCAAACTTCTTTGTTCATTTCAACCCTAATACAATCAGTGAGACACAAGTTTTTCTCTAAGATATACCATAAACCTGGAGAGATTCTCTTTTCCAGCCAAATTGTCAGCTGTTACTTTTGTAAATCTTTGTATCTCCTGTTGCTCAGCAGAGTAAGCTCTCAATAAGTATCTATTGATGATGACAATGACAATGTTTGTGATAATTACAATAGCATACTTTATCAACAGGTCCTCTATAGTGCAAGTGGGTTCTTAGCAAAGAACAGAGACACTCTTCCAACTGATATCGTGCTACTTTTGAGGTCTTCCGAAAACAATGTAATTCGGCAACTAGTCAGCCACCCACTGACAAAAACAGGTAAGGCAATTTCCCTTAACTGAGACGTTTCCTCGAGCCCAGTTCGGTGGCTTCTGTCTCTGTGATTTCCATGAAGTGAATCCTCAATTTTTCATATTTGTTTGTTTTCAACTCGCTAAATATTCATTAATTAATATCCTCTGCCCCAGAGCATCTGAAGAAAATGTAAAAATAAATATAAACAAACTAGGTTTTCATTGAAGATAAATGTTTGTAGCACTCGCCCAGAAAACATGGCGGTGTCCTAGCTACTGACTAGAAGAGTATAGTTTCCTCCAGAGAGTTCAGAATTGCATGCCGTCTTCGGCAGTGGGCAGCCTTTGGATGTTTCTTTGAGGCTCTGAAAGTCTGGCAAGCTCTCTTAATGACAACCTCCTCCCCCTGATAAAGGGCATCTATGAAAAACCTACAGCCAACGTTATATTTAATGGTCAAGACTAAATGCTTCCTCCTACAATCAGGAAAAAGGCAAGAATGTTTACTCTCATCACTTGTATTCAACATTGCGTTGGGGATTCTAGCCAGTGCCACCAAGAAAGAAGAAATAAACAACAAACATATTGGAAAAGAAAGGGCAAAACTCCTGTAAATTAATGATCCCTATGATTTCTAAGGCCCATTGTAAAGCTTAGCCTGCATTAAAGAAACCCTCAGATATCATTTAACACAAACAAAAATAAGAAACAAGTTGCTTCCTTCATCATAATCACCTCATATCTTCTTGCAATTCAAAGGAAATCTAACACTTTACCTCTCCCTTTTCTATTTTCCAAGCTAGAGGGATTTTTTTTAAACTTAAAATTTATTACAAATTTTTAGGTAATATTATTTTATCCCTAAGTGTCTGAATAAATAGTTAACCAAGCATGTGAGTATGAATACTGCAGGATCATCAACACTTATTTTAACATTTAAGTAAATAAGAAAAATCATCTAGCTGTTAAGGATCCTAAAGGGTATATTAATTTTTTCTACATTCCCATAGGTAATCTGCCACCTTCTAAAACTAAAAATATTATCAACTATCAAATGAAGACTTCAGAAAAATCAATCAACCTGACAAAGGTAAGAAAATGCATTTTTTCATGGTGGTGAGTCTAAGAATCTAACTTTTATGATGGCAATATCTGTGTGCTCCTACAAGTAGACAGGTTTTCCTTTGTTTTTCTCCTTCTGATCTTTTCTGTTTGAACAGATATTTATGTTATGTTTATGTTACTGCTAGTTACTAAAATAATCATGCACTTCTGATATATTTCTAACCCTTCTTTTGTAGCTAGTCTACACCACTAAAAATGTACCAGCAAGGGTCAGAGATATTCACATTCTATGTAAGACCAATTAAAATTCCAATGAGACTAACAAAAACAATTGTCCTAAAGTAAGAATATCGACAACATTTTTCTATTTTATGTATTGGAATGCATAAACTAAGACAACCTGAAGTAAAGTTCCACATGCTCCCGTAAATCATAAAGTACAATGGGTCTTGAAGCATCTCTGTCTTCCTTTCCTTAGGGTGAAATTGGAGACGCCACACGTCATGCTAGAGAGACAACCAACATGAAAACACAAACAGTGGCATCGTATTTCAGAGTAAGATATTAAATTATGCTGTGTTGTGCTTAGAAACGTTATTTATTCTAAATGAGTTATAGATCAAAAGCTAGTAACAAATGTCAGAGTGCCACTAGCAAAAGAGAATGTTTATTGTATTCCATTTACTATTTGGTAGATACAGGATATGTTAGTGTGTACTATCAGAAATCTGTGGCTTGGTTTACTTTGCTTGATTATATTTTACCTGTAAAATTATTATATCCCAGGTCAATCTAAATGGTGGTCTATACCTTGATTAAAATGTGTCCATATGCTTGAAGCTCTGACTCGAGGGGGGAGAGGGGGCAAAGGCAATATATATAACCTTAACATTTGTACCCCCATAATATGCTGAAAAAAATAAATTTAAAAAATGTGTCCATAGAACCAAATGCATAAATGCATTTCCACTAGAATGAAACCTAAAAGGGTGTTTAATTTGATGCTGTGATAACTACCAATTCTTCTTCCTCCTCCTGAATTATTTTAGGATAGACAGATAGGGCAAGGTTGAGCATCCTTCTCCATTCTGTGTAACCCTTCATATACAGAGCTGAAAACCTCAAAAGGAAAATAGAGCCCAGTGTAGGCAGGGTGCAAGAAGAGTCACCAGGGAGACACGATAACATGCCAAGGGAGTGTGCTTAGCGTAGGATCAAGATCACCTTCCTTCCTTGGACAATATGGGAGAAAGGAAAGAAAGAAGTATGTCATTTTCTGTGCTCTAGAGAACTCTAGATAATCCTGCCCCTATAGTTGGTTTTAGTTCTTGTTTCTCTCTTTGATAAACCAGGCAATGAAGACAATATCACCTAAAACTTGGGAAATATTAGTAATGTAATTTAATGTGGGAGAAATAGAGGAAACTGGATTCAATTTACTAAAAGTGCTCAGTGAATATATCCAGTTCTCTAATGGATTCATGAAATACCTTTTGTAAATATCCGAATACTTTTATTATGCATTTTTCAAGTCCTAAGCTCATAGAAGACACTGTGTGCTTAATCAACTTTGAGTAGTGCCTGGTATATCCATATGCTCAATGTTTTATGTTTGCGGCTGATACATTCACTTCATATCAGGAATGCAGTACAGTTAAATCACTAAAATTTACACCCAGATTATTTTCTTTCTTTAAGTGAGTTATCCAAGACCATTATCATACCACTATTGTTGGCATCCAACATCATGTGTATGTTTAAACCCGATTAGTTCCTGAAATTATTTTAATCTTCAGGCTGAAGTGAAAAACAGTAGAAGATAATTCCACACCATATGTAGTGTGGTTTGAAAGTTATTTTTCATTCTGCAGAGAAGAATGATCATAGTTTAACACTATGCCTTAGTCCCTAAGAAAAACCAGTGCCTAAATTGCAGTTAGCTCCTGCTCAGAGTAGCAGCTTTGTGTCACCAGTGCCTGGCAGATGTTTGCATGACTAAAGGAATGATGACTTACAGATCAATGCAATGAAAAAGGCTCCAAAGTGGCAGGCCCAGCTGTGTGAAAAGATCACATCACATCTGAGTCTCAATGCCCAAGAGGAAGCCATGCAAATTCAGTGTTTTGTCAGTTGCCCAGTTGCAGCATTTGTTTTGTGCTGGCTTTGTGACAGTGGGCTTTAGTCTTCAGCACTAAAACAGATCCAGCCCTACGTAGCTATCTGTGCCCATAGGTCACCTCACCAATACATGTGATCCTAGTCTTTGAGATAACTAGTTTTCTGGAATTCCACTTTTAGTTGAACCATGATTATCCTAATGGTATACTTATTTGTCCAATAAGTGACTACTGTTTTAATAAGGTATTTGTATAGAACACAGTTTTCATATCTGTGTGATTAAAAAATCCCTAAAATAAATAAGAAAATGATCAAATTATGACAGATTATTTAAACATATATCACTTTGCTTATTTTTATATCAATGTCCGATATCTCCATTAACTTCTCTATTTTAAACTAAAGAGATGACTCTGACAGAGATTAAAGTGTTCACTGTTACACTTTCTGTAAAGAAAGAGTTGGACGACAAAATTAATGTATAAGCAGAATTAACTAGACTATGTGCCTAAATATTATAATTTGGCAAGTTGGCCTGAGAGGATATAATTACTTATAAACAAACTACATCAAAAATAATTTTAACTATTTATTAAAGTTGCCTTAAGACTTTATAAACAAACTTTTAATAGCTAAATATCTAATTATTGCTTCTACATTTTTGTAAGTATATCTGTATTTTAAAAAATATACCACTATAAATAAAAGTTTCATTAATACAGATTTCCCTCCACTTACCGTGACTAGTATGAGCATTTGAAACATTCGTTTTTCAAATTTTATTCTTGTAGTAAAAAGAAAGACTGCAAGCTCATAAGCATTTGTATGCTACACTGGGAAATTTATTTTTGTTGCATATTATAGTATTCTCTGATGGATTTGTTATCTAAAATGGTGGTGGGCCAACCGCATTTTGTTCGTTGCATCAAACCAAATAATGAGCGTCAGGCAAGAATATATGACAAAGAGAAAGTTCTGCTACAGCTTCGCTACACAGGAATTCTGGAAACAGCAAGAATTCGAAGGTTGGGTTACTCACATCGGATACTTTTTGCTAACTTTATAAAGCGGTATGTAGATTTCTTTTTCAGTTTTTGTTGTATGGTTTATATAAAAATTCTTCAGAAGAATTATAGGAAACAAAATAGGAAAGATTTATTTAAGTAGTCTAGGAAGGAGGCATTTTGTTCATGCAAATGATCATGAATTGAAGAGAAGGTAACTATTAGCTGAGGCTGAAGGACTGCTGTCAGCTGGGAGACCCTGGGCGGTAACATAGGGTACGCGTCTCAGGCAGAAAGATCTCGAGGCCTAAGCCTCTATACTGACGAGTTGGAAAGTCCAGGTCCTTGTCCAGCTCTGCTACTTGCTATGTGATCACGGGCTTATACCGCAGATTCTCTACTGGAGAGACTTTGCCTCTCCGAAGACACTCAGCAATGTCTGGATACATTCTGGGTCGTCACACCTGGTAGGGTTGCAGGGTGCTATTGGTGTCTAGCGGGTAGAGAATTGAGGTGCTGTTACCGTCCATTCTAGACATACAGGACAACCCCCCCACAACCGAGAATTTTCCAGCCCAGAATGTCAACAGTGCTGAAGTTGAGAAACCCTGGCCTATGCGGAACCTTATTTTCCTCCAATATTAAATCTGCCAGGACTACCCGAGAGGATTGTTACAATGATCAAATGAGATATTGCTTCTAAAGATGATTTAGAAGATGCAAAGAAACAATTAGGTTTATTTGTCAATTTAAAAAATTAATTAAATTTTAGAAAAAACAATTGATTAGATATAAGGAGTTCTTTTTAATATTTGAGATAAATATAAAATGAATTAAACTATATATTAAATACAGTCTATTCAGTAATGCACTAGTGGTAAGGTAGAGGTTCAGGATCTTAAATATTTAATATTTTAAATACCCATATTTCTGATAGTTATCAGTTTTATAATTTCTAGTAGTCATTATACTTAAAGGACTTTTAATTTTCAAAGGTGAAGTCTATTAAAATTTTCAAGTGAAACCTAGTGATTGCAGAAGTCTCCATTTATAACACTCTCCAGGCATTTTCAGAGTGTGTAAATTAGTATTAAGAACAAAAAAAAGCTTTGTTTTGTGATTGTACAAGAAACTGTGATTTCTAACCCTCCTGCCCCCCAAATTTTATGTCTTGTATCAGGCATTATTTTACTTACAGTTACAAAATGTAATGAGAATTCTGATTATTTCTTCTAATTTTCATATTTTTAGCAACTCGTGGTAGTTCTTGTTTTTTTTTTTTCTTTAGAGACTTGGGAATATTCATGTGAAGTGCCTTGAAATCAAGAAAACTCTACCACTTTTTCATGATGGAGATCAAAATTACATAAACATGATGACTTTTATATTGGCCAGTCCTTTCTATTATAGGAGTTTAAGACAGACTTTAAAACCTGAAGTTTTAGAGTTCAGAAATATAGCCAGCATCTAATCATTGACTTCACTTCCTACAGATCAGACCCAATTTTATATCCAAAACTAAGAAATAAAAAATATTGGAATTTTTTATTGGCCAATTGGGAAATTCTCCATTCTATTCATGAAAGCAGGTAACTCAAAAGTACTAGACACAAAGGAGTTTCAAATCTCAAATTTAAATTAAAATTTGACCTTATTATCGTGCACTTCATGTTTTAGAAAAAGAGCAGATCTTCAACTTCCTTAAATATTAATATAAATATATTAATGTAATAATAATATAAGTGCCCTTAAATTTCAGTGATTTTTTTTTTTCATGCATAAGGCACAATGTTAAGCGCTGTGGGAAACACAGAATTTTAAAACTGACTTGATCTTCAAGAATTGACAATCCAGTTAGGATTATCAGAGCCACAGGCATGGAAAGTTAAGAAGCAACGCAAGGTTATAAATCCCAAGGTCCGAGAGAATGGCATGCACGTGGGAGAGCTCGTGGAAGGGAAGAGCATTACCCGGCGGGCTGATAGGAGCAGATACAAGAAGAGGGGTTCTCTTGGTGGGACGGTTTGTGGGGAGACAGGCAGGGGCTCTCTCGGTGTTCAGGTTGCTGAGACAAAGCTAGAGGACTCAGATAGGACTGGATTGGCAGAGCCAGCATTAGTGAAGTGACAGAAGACAAGATGAGAAAACCAGTTGAGTTAAAATTATGAAGAGACTCTCAAATGCCCCCCTAACCTTATAAAAAAAAATAGAGAGAAACTCATGAATAGCTCTTCTGAATACAAGAAGTTTCAGAAATAAAAAAGCTAAACCTTTCCTCTGTCACTAATTTGAAAGTTGTCATCCAAATTGGCATAGACTCTCAGGCAAGCAAAACAATTTGCAAAGGAGTGTAAATAGAGCTTTGTAGATCACCCTCATCCATCCTGCCTAACCCTCTGCATAGAATGCAAAATTCCCCAGACCTTTGTCTGTTCTGTTGTAGATAAACTCTTCTGTTCTATGACAAAGAAACAATCTTAAGAGAAGATACACATGAACTTACCTTTGCACAAGACACTGGGTTTTTACTGTAGCTTTTTCAAATGAACCCTTATACTTAGAAGCCGCCAAAATTAGCTCCATTTTCCTAGTAGGCACCTGAACACAACGGTTTGGCTCCTAGATCTGTGATACAACCAGAGCTCACCAAAGGCAGGAGGATAGTGGAGGAGGGAAGTACACGTGCTTCAAAGTCAGCACACCCAGGTTTGAATCTCTAGTCTTCCACTTACTGTAATAGAAATGTGACCTTGTTCAAAGTTATTTGAGTTCTATAAGCTCCAGTCTTCATTTCCTTCCTCTACAAATAGAGGTGATCATAACAGTGTCTACTTTATATGTGTTTATGAGCATTAAGTGAGATAATTCTATATGGAGTTTATTGGTAGAACCAAATGTCATCAATACACATTAGCTGTGATTATTTTCATTATTATTTTTGCCTTAGTCCCAAGCTTCCAGAATGACTTATGACCTTTACTGCTGGGATCTTAAATCCCACCGTGTAAACCATGAAGCTAATCCATAAATCAAAGCCGAGGCCAGTGGGTAGTGATCGGTCCACTACCAATAGTCTACCATAGTCTTTAAAACAAGGGGCGCAACACAGTGAGGGTCTCAGGGCTTCTCTCCCCAAGTACCTCTGCTCTGCCCAGGTGTTTATCTCCACAACAGGTCCCTGTGGCAGTTCATTCACTATACCTTCAACCAACATCTCTTTAATCAAGAGATCCAGTCCTCGAACAAAATAGTAGTGCAAATCAATCATTCAAAGATGAGTTCAAAGATTAAGGATCCAAAGATTAATAAAAGAACTTCTGATAGTCAGAAACTCACAGACCAGTTGTGAAAACAGGGATTAAGCAGTCTTCACTATCATACAATGTAAAGTCAGTTCCAGAAGGCAGAGTGTTGGTCACTGCTGTGTCTCCAGGACCTAGGAGAGTGGCTGGCAAAGAGTAGGTGCACACATATGTACCAAATGAATGGGGAATACTGGATATCTTTAATGAAGGTATGCACAGGGTATTCTAAGAACATAAAGGAGGGATGGTTTAGATTATAGTAGAAATTTAGACAAAGCAGAGAATCATAAAAGTAATACATAAATATATACCATAAATATTAAACTTAAACATGAACATGTTTGTTTTTTAAACTTTTGATATAGGCTTAATTTTTGTCCTTTAAGTACAAGTCCACTAACCGTTGTTTATTGACTCTTTCTTGCACAAACTGTCCATCATTCTTCATTTTGATTTCCAGTTAACATTTCTTGGAGTAAAGCAGGAAATTAGAGATACTTGTGAAGCCATCACCGGGGCTAAATATGTCTTGATTCTTAGACTCTTCCTTAACTCTTTGCAACTACTTGTTTAACTCAATAGTTTTTTAGAAGACTTCTATATAAAGTCTTATCAAAGCATTTGATAATGTTTTATAGAAACAATTCTCTGAGTTTTCTCACTCAGATTTCCACCTGATGTTTATGTGAATAATGTCACATCCAGTACAACTGGCATAACCGGGTCTGGGAGCAAACTCAGCTCACCCTGTGAGAGCAAGTGCCTGTGGGCACACTCGTGACAGCTGTCAGCCACGAGCTCCAGGTGTGCAGTGGACCTAGTTGGTGTGTTGCACACAGGAAAGGAAAATGTCCACTAATCCAGTTTGCCTGTTAACCGAAGATATGCTAAAGAGAGTTTCTAGATACAAACACTCTTAAGTCCTAAATATAAAAAAAAAAAAAAAAAAAAAAGAGAGAGTTTCTAGAATGTTGAAAGAGTAGGTCTTTTTTAAGGAACCAGGGAGAGGATGGAAGGGCATGCAGGTATAGAGAGTAACACTTACAAAGCTATGAGCAAAGGTGGCCCTGTGGCATCATTGTACATAACTTTAGTGACCAGAGCTAGAGCTATGGGAAATAACGGGAGGGGAGGCTGGAAAGGCGGCAAAGGCACAGAGCAGGGGGGGTTGTATGCCAGTCATCATGTATGGCAAACAGTTGACAATGAATCCTTTCCAGCAGGTGTAACCTGCCCATGTCCTGCATCCCCCTGCTCCCTGGCCCACATACTTATGTGATCTGCCCAGCCTTCAAAAACACCTCCTTTTGCCATCCCAGCTTAGAACTTGGGAACTCCATAGAGACCTTTGAATCAGGAAAGGGCGTGATCAAATTTTCCTTTGGAAAGATAACCGGGACAGAGCTGTGGAAGTTGGGGGTGGAGTGAAGGTGGCAGTAACTGTCTGGAGACAATTGCAGAAAAGTCCAGGTGAGAGGGGTGAGGAGTAGCAGGTGACAGCAGCAGGAACAGCCAGAAGGAAATGGGCCCCAGAGAGATTTTTAAGCTTGTTAGATACACAGAGTGAAGAATGAGGAAGAATCTTGGCTGACATTCAGATTTCTAGCTTGAGTAACTTCTAAAAAGTGGTGATATCTTTCACTGAGATGGAAATAGCAGAGAAAGGGAAGCAAGTTGTGAATTTTGCTGTGTTTGGAGTGTCTGGATATAGAGTGACAAGACGTAAATCCTGTGTTTAGAGTTGATGTACACAGGGCTGCAGACGTGGGCTGAGAACTCCTGCCACACGGGGAGTGAAGGGAGCCGAGTGTGTGAATGAGACGCCTGTGGAGCTAGCTTAGAAAGAAATAGGACATTGCTGCACACCAGGGTTTAAGCAGAAAGGATAAATATGGGGCAGTAGGGAGATGAGAGGGAGGGGGAGAAGCTGGGACAGGGTGGGGGCAGGAAGCCTTGGAGAGAGCAAGACAGAGAGAGACCAACAACAGCAAGTCCTATGAAAAGAACACATATGATCAGGATGGAAAAGGATGCTTCAGATTTCACCACTAAAAGATCTATAGGATTAAGCAAGAGTCCTTATTACTGTGTGATTAAATAAGATCTCAGGAGCTAAGGAGGGACGGGAAGTAGGGAAGTGGGGACACTTATCCTAAACAGTCTTTTGACGTATCTGTGATGCTAGTGGGAGAAGTAGAACCATTACGTATGGGAGAGGCTTAAGGTGTCTTTTGTAACAACAAACGAACATCCATTTTGTAAATGGAAGGAGCCAGAAGGGAGAAATGGGATTGAAAATAAACAGGAGAGAAGAGGAGGAGTGGATTGTGTCTAGAACACAGGCAGATGGAGGAGGAAAAAGCCTGGGTCTGGCGGGGGCTCCAGTGAAAGAGTAGACAAGATCGTCTACTGAGAGGTGGGCAGGGGCAGGGGCAGGTGGGAGACTTGAAGAAAACACAACAGAGCTGAATATGTTGGGAGGAACAAGAGGGGAAAGTGGCGCTGAACACCAGGAAGGACCCTGAGCGTCCTTGTGTGCTGGCTGAGTCAGGAAACCACGCGTCCGCAAGGAATCTGCTGTGAACAGAAGGCTATTTTCTCTGGCTCTGCTCTGAAGCCTGGCATGGGGGCAGAGGAACAGATGCTTGATCGGATGGTCCAGGTGTGCATGTTTGCAGAGCATGCACGAGAAAAGAACGAGAGTGTGTTAGTCCACTCTGCGCTGCCATAAGGGAACAGCTGAGGCTGGGTCATTTATAAAGAAAGGAGGTTTGTTTTGCTCACTGGTCTACAGACTGCATAAGAAGTGTGGCCACCGCATCTGCCTCTGGAGGGGGCTTCAGGGAGCTTCCAGTTAAGGCAGAAGGCGAAGGGGAAGCAGGCGTGCCACGTGTCACCAGAAGGAGCAGGAGAGGGAGGAGGCGGGGCCAGGCTCCCTCAAACAACCAGCTCTCAAGTGAGCTAATAGAGCGAGAACTCTCTCATTATCTGGGGGAGGGCACCAAGCCAAACCCCTCCCACCAGGCCCCAACCACACTGGGGATCAAATGTCAACATGAGATTTGGAAGGGCCAAACATCCAAACCATATCAGTGAGAGAGTTAAAGAAGCTGCCTACAGGTGGCTCCTGGGATGAACTGTGAGATCCCAGCTAGATCAGGAAGGAGGCAAAGCCAGGACAGTTGACAGGCCGAGAGCGCAGAGTCACCACTAGGGTCACAATGTGTACAAGAGCCAGTTGGTCCTGAGGTGGGTGGGCCTGAAGCTCAGGGCGCTCCCTGAGGTTATTTGCATGCAGCAAAAGCTGTGACCATCACTTCATTCTAGACCATTCTAGGCCAGGAGGATTCTTCTTCAAAGAGCCTAACACACGCTGGTTCATCTGCAGATTCAATGAGGTGAAGCTTAGTGGAGCTGAAATATGTTATTGAAGGAAACTGATACATTCTGTGATGTGCCTTCTACACATCAGGACCTCTTTTTTGAAAATCGAAACCCACCCAAATTTGCTCCTTTGTTTCTACGGGACATTCAGGCTAATCTTGCACCAAGAAATTAAAAATAAGAGGGTACTGAAAACTCTGGAAATATGCCCTTTTTGCATAAGATTCTTGACCAGTGTAAAATCCGGTAACCAGATTTTCTTCTTTTAATTCATCCTTTTTCCCAGTAAGTCTGGTGGTTCAGTCTGAGGACCTGCTTTCAGTTCTTTCCAGCATTCACCTTTCTTTCTTTCCTCCTCTCAACTGTTTGTAGATTGAACCAATAGAGAGAAACTGCGGCAGGAGACACAGTGTAACTCAAGGGAAAACAGTGGCGGCAGGCGTGTATACAGGATGGGAAGGTAGTTAAACTCTTTAGCCTGATTTTAAGATCAGCTACCAGTGTTTTGTTAACACTGGAAAGTGAAAAAAGAATAAAAGGACCTTCTGCTTTTATCACCTGGAGAAAGGTTGCTTAAAAAAAAAAAAAACAGCGTATTTTTTTACAAATTTCTACAAATAGACCCATCTGGGTTTGCATCAGTTTGGAATTCAGTCTACCCTTCTAAGAATGCCTGTCTGTGACCACCAGGGTACTGAGGTGCTGGACTTTGTACACTACTAAGCAGCCCCTTTTCCATTTTCAGGTACTCTGTTCTATGCTACAAGTCCAGCGAGGAGCCCCCCGTGAGCCCTGACACCTGTGCCGCCATTTTGGAAAAAGCTGGTCTCGATAACTGGGCTCTTGGAAAAACAAAAGTAATGTTTTCATGTAACTTTCAGGAAGAAGTGAATAATTACATTAGATTTACTGAGAATTGTAACATTTTACAATGATTGAAACTATTATAGCTTTTTATGTTACAAAATCTCTAGCTTAAAATAGGGGAAGTAAATTTATAAATTCCTACTGGTGTCCTTCTTCAACAAAATTAAACACTTTTGCTCTTCATAAAGGTTTCTTTTAAGAAATACAAGAAAAATGTATCTTGAGGTTTTATCAAAAATAAAGATAAAACTTAAAATTAATATACTTCAAATGGTATTGAAAACAGACATGTTTTCTCCATTTTATCACCACCAAAAATAGTCAAAAAGCTGTAGAGAATTGTAATTATCTAAATAGGATTCTTATTTTTGTTTTTTTTTCCTAATTCTCAAATCTACTTCTATCATAAATTGAAACTTTGTAACTTTATCTGGGATAAAATATTCACCATTATTACTGGACTCATTACATGTATTTGGACATCAACGTGTTTATATATTAGCTTTTAGAGTCTATGAGATCTTAGCTTATTTAATCCCTTGAAGAAGAAAAGTAAAAAATCATAGCCAATTTTGAATATGGAAATGAGGACAGGTTGCTGCTGGGAGAAACCATGCGTTGGGCTTCTCGGACATTCTTTTAGCATCACCAGGTGGGGATATGGAGATAAACAGGGGACTGGTGTACACTACACATATCTTAGGGTGGTACTAAATGTGTCACTGGGGTCTGGGGAAGACAGCCAAGCTAAAACAGAGCTACTCAGACATCGACCACTCAAGAATAACCACCATCAGCCGGACCACAGAAGTAAGCCAAACAAACTTGCACATTTGCAAAGAAATGTATTAATATATTAGCTGTCTTGGTGGTGAGAGATGTGGGAGAGGATTTTAATAATGTTCAGATGAGGAATTAAGTCCCTTAACAATTTTAGAGAGTAAAAAAATAAAGTCTACCTTAGACTGAGTATCCTACTTATTCAGAGATAACCCATATTTATTATAGTATTTAGTAAGGGGTTATTTGGGGCATATAAAAACGTGTATTTTAATCAAACCATTTTGGATGCCTTACAAAGAAGAATTTCATCAGGTGAAAATCTCATGATTTATGGTCCGAAGCACATGCCTAACTTCAATGGAGTTTTAACTTACGAAAAGGCCCTGCGTTGTTCTGCTTCTGTATGATATTTAAGTAGCATTTTAAAGCTATTTGTATTTTTCCACTTCACCTTTTCCAACTCATTAACATGGATAAAAGTATTTAATATAGGAACATTTCTAATGCCATAGAAAAAAATATGATGACCTTTTTAAACAGATTGAATTTTAAATGAATTGTCAACAGCAGAATGGACTAAATATATTAACATCTAGAGTCCTGTAGAAATTAAAACTGAATTAAATCAAAACTGTAATGCTAAACTGTTTGCCTATGGTGTCAAGCTTTCAAGTAAATTGAACGCTAGAAAATTCTCCAGTCAGGATTACCATGTCTATAACTCAACCATAAAATTTGAATTCAAGTGACTATCTTGATGAATTCAGTAAACTCTTCGAGGTGACTTTTATTGGTAAATTTAGCCATTAAAAGAAAAAATACACCCTTTCTGTTTCCTTGGGGGAGGGGAGGACAGAGCTAAAGATTGTTAGAAGAGAACATTCCAGGCCTTCAGGTTCCTCTCTTGCTGGGATTCATGTTGATTTTAGAATAATCAAAGGTCAGCCCTCCTCCCTCCATGACAGCCTTCGGGTTTCATAAGAACATGGAAGCTGCCTGGGCCGTCTCTCTCTGCCCACACTGGTGACACTCTCAGACCCCACAGGACCATGACCATGTTTTATTTGTTTGTATATCCGCAGCAGATAAGTACATACAGTAGGTCTCAATAAATACTTGGTGAATGAACTCGCATAACCCTAACTGTCCTCTCTCTTACAATTAGATTTGTAAGATTTTTAAATTTGGTAAATATAACTGTATTTAAAAAGTAAAAAGCATAAAAATTAGCTTAGCCCGGAATATATGATGCTAAAACTTTGCTGACCGAGTTCTACATCTACCACTCTTGTTGGCCCATCCAACAAAACCTAAAGTTACCTGTTGTAAATGAACAGTGAGTGCCATCTTCTGCATTTCTTCCGGAAGGTTTTCTTCAAGCAGAGAAATCTATTTTGTCATAGTGACATCCAAGCCAAAGAAACAAAAGATGGTGATTTCCAAAATCTAAAACAATTTAGAATACAGTCTGTTCAAAGCATAACACACAACTGCTTCACTTCTGCATGCCATGTTTTTATTTGGATTTTATTTTAATTTTTTAAGGTGTTCCTTAAATATTATCATGTGGAGCAGTTAAATCTAATGCGAAAGGAAGCCATTGACAAGCTTATTTTGATTCAAGCCTGTGTCAGAGCATTCTTGGGCTCAAGAAGATACCAAAAAATACAGGAGAAAAGAAAAGAAAGCGCTATAATAATACAATCAGGTAATTACTCCGACTGTCTCCCTGTGTAACAAGACACAATGTTATGTTTAGATATGACATAAAATCAAATCTTATGATACTTCTTATAGGCCAGCCTCCAATTTTTACATAGCTTTTGCATTGCCTTGAAACTTTCTCTATACTAAAACTAAGTCAGATTGTTTTAGTGATTGACATTTTTAATATTTGAATAAATGTTCTGTTTTATATAAAATAATTTAATTTTTAAATTTTCCATCAAGAATTAATGACACACAATTGCACAATGACCTATTGTGCAAGACACAGCAGATGACTAAATTAATTATGGAGCTCGAGAATATCATTATTATAACTCATCGGACAATAAGATTTTTCCTGCTTTATTCTAAAGGTTACACTTGCCATAATTTTTGACAACTTAATTAAATCTTATTTTGTTAAAGGGCATCTATTTCTTTCTGTAGGGAAATAATATTTATTATAACTGTACTTTACTTAGCAAATTTTTATTAAAATGCATTAATAGACTTTGGATTTTGTTCTCTATTTTTCGATAAGAAACAAAATTTAGATAAAGCCTAGCATAGCTGGACACAGTATCTTTCAAAATTTTTTGATTGGACACCCATAGTAAAAAATATATATATATATATATATTTGACTTTGTAACCTGATACACATACACACTACAAGCAATAGATTCTGGAATTTTCTATGGTAGTCTATTCCATTTCATTTGCAGATGCTAGATTTGCCCACTGACTCAATGTGCTGATCCACGTAGTGGTCCGCAGCCTGTGTTCTGCAGAATACCGAGGCGCTGGCAGCATGAATAGCTGGCTGACTGTCAGGAGGTTCACATTCCTGTCCCAGTTCTGTCGGTCAGGAATAGGGCATCATCATCTCGTTTGCAATTTTAAATCCTTAACTTCTCACCAAGGCATCAAAATGCAAACCCATCAAATTGAGATTTAATTCTTTATCCACAGTTTCAAAATTCATAAAGCTCAGAAAAAAAAGATTTTTCACAACTTATTTGGCAGTGAAACTTATCCTGATGTGAAGTGAAGTTATTCACAGCCCTTTATCCATCCCATTTAGGAAAAATAGCCTGTGCTTTTATGCATGTGTTTGAAATATGCATGTGTTTGATTATGGGATGCTGCCCTGACATGGGGAATGCTACAGAATGTATATTTGCTCTGTATTAACTTTCTAAAATTAAAAAAAAATTTAATCTGAATTCTATATATCTGGCCCCAAGGACAATTGGCCAAAATGTCCAAAAGACATACCAAAAAAGGAAAAAAAAAGAGTTACTAGCAAATTTTAAGCACATTCTGTCATCAACTTTGTTTGTCCCTATCATTTTGGTTTCATTTTTGTACTCTCCTTAATACAAAAGATATTTTAGTTATTCTATTGCCTCAGCTTCCCAACTGGAAGAGTCTTGTTAATGAATCCCAGCTTTTGATGAACCTGTTTTATTTGGCATCTTTAATTTCACTTTCTTCTTTGACAGTGGTGGTCAAACCCACTTGTTTCTGCTGACTTAAGTCAAGTTCTTTCATTTCTTATGATTAACACTGTTCTGGGCCTTGTCTGTCTCAGCTGCAAGAGGACACCTAGTCAGGAAACAAAGAAAACAGATTGTTAACATGAAAAACACGGCGGTAACAACCATTCAGACTTACGATCGGGAATTTGACTACAAGAAAAACTTTGAAAATAAAAGGTATAGTGATGTTCATTCATACACCCCTGTGACATACTGATTTTTCAAATCTGTAAAATCCTAAAAGAGTGTTCACAATCTTTCTTGCACATAGCCAGGTTCCTGATACTGACTCATCAAATGTCAGCGAATATCCATGGGCCACTTTGTGTTCTGTGTCCTATTTAAGAGTTTGCTGTCATCTCACATTTTCCTTCTCAAAGTTTTTCCTCCTTGATGTCTACCAGACTGCTTTCTACAATTCTGCTTCTAATTCTGAGTGTCCTTAGTGAATATTCCCTCCTCTCCCCACGTTTAAATCCTCTTCCACATCCGAATGTGTCCCTGGGCCTTCTCATTCATTCCTGTGGCCTTCACAGCCAACACGCCCTTGGCCCCTAAGTCAGAATCACCAGCTGCCTTTCTTCTTCTGAGCCCTCAGGTCCATGCCAAGCGCGTATCAGCAAATCCACTTGAGTTCATTGGCTCAGTGGGCTTTATGCTAGGCCAGGGACAGAGATAAATGAAACAAAATTCTTACACTCCAATTTCTCACAGTATTATGGGGGAAAAATATGACCAATAAATACATGATTTTAGTAAAATGGGTTAACTCTTCTATAAAAATATGCAACGGGTGCAGTGTAGACAAGAAGGAGGGAACCCTGCCTTGGTCAGTGGTGAGAGGAAAAGGAAAAAATATCTAGATTTTGCCTAAGTGGTGAAACTCGGATTGGTCCAAAGATGGATAAGTGGTTGTCCAGGGAGATATAGATCATTCTAGCCCCCACCCCAGGCCCCTTGTCTTTAACATCAGGACTGGCCATGGGAAGAGTGAGAGAATGTGCTGGAAGAAGAGATGGCTTCCTTCTCTCCCCACACACCCACGTCTAATGTCCCCTCACGCCAGCAGTGATGGTCTCACAGATGCCTTCTCTGCCGTCCCCCCTCCCTGGCACCCACACTCTCCCTGTGTCACCCAGGGCAACCTCGTCTCCTCATACGACAAACATGAATGTTTACCTAAAGCACAGAGGCACTTGGTGTTTTTAATTTCTTACATATTCAGAGACCTACATCTATACTCTTTGTATTCTGCCTGCAGGGATCCAGGTGATTTGTTTCTCTCTGTTACTGGCTATAAACAGTTCAGCAAACTTCAGAAACATCACAGGCCACCAGAGGAGCAGGAGGGGGGATGTGACCTGTGACTGCTACACTTCAGGAGTCTGAGAGAAACATGGAAGAAAGATGCACTCACAGGGGTTCTCAAACTTTTTAAACAGGGGGCCAGTTCACTGTCCCTCAGGCCATTGGAGGGTCGTCAGAGGGTGTGGTGCACATTCCACACATGCGCACTGTGGGCCCAGGACGAATTGGCTGCTAAGCAGGACAGGCAGTGGCGGCAAAAACACCCGGTGGACCAGATAAATGTCCTCAGTGAGCCGCATGCGGCCCGTGGGCCATAGTTTGAGGACTCCTGGACTAATGTCACTACCTCTAGGAATTACTACTTGTAGCTATTACATTTAATAAGGATGTCTGATGTTCAGTTAGATACTAATTTGCTGCCACCTTTCTTCTGAGGGTACCAGGGATTAGCTTCCAATATGGCAGATACATATTAAGCATCTACCACATACAAGATCCAATTTAGAGCCCACAGGTGTGAATAAGAAACTGTCCCTGCATGTAAGGATGGGGAATTGACATTTATTGGACCATCATAGGAGGAGGACCACAAAGTTAGACATAAAAGAAGCACAAGCAGAGATGAGGGAAGCTCAGAGGAAGGAGAGAGGAAGGTTGGGGAGGACAAAGGCAGGAGAGCCTGACACAGGCCCCCTTCTTGAGATCTGCAGGCTGGCGCTCTCAGCCCTCCACAACTTCCGACTTTCCTTTTCCCCCAGTGCCATTCAACCCTTGTTGTCACTTTACCCATCACCGATAGAGTCCCTGACCTATGACCTAGAAAAGCACAGTTGGGAGCTGGAGAAAGGTCCACTCCTGCAAGCCTCCCCTGCACCTGCCAGCAGAGATCACTAGTCCTTCCGGGCTGGCACTCTGCAAGGCCGATCCTGAGAAGCATCATTGCACGTGGTCTGTAGGTCCTCCAAGTGCTGTGCTGGCCTCCGGCACAGGGTGGAGTGTTCTGTAGCGTAATTCCAGACATGTAACTGACATGAGGTCTGCAGCAGTGTACACAGCAAGGTTTCACCAGCAAATGCATTTAAAGTATCAAAAGTAACTTAACTTATAAATGGATTTTTTGGAATGTAGTTGGTTAGAGACTGTATGCATATCTTGTCTTATTAGTCATATTTTGAGTAAATATAAGCATTTTCAAGGGAGTACTATGGAGGAATTCAAAATACTATTAGTAGCATAGCCACTTATCAAAATGGTGGGGATTTTTGGTTCCCTACATAGTTTTCCCACTGATCCTGGTACGATTGATTCTCTTATGCCTCCTGTATGAACCCAGAAATGTCACAGTGGGCCTATGAAGTAGCCAACAGAATTAGGAAAATGGAGTCCCAGTAGCTTTTGCCAGGGTTGGCTCAAAGAAGAGTCCTTCTTCACAAACAGATTGCAAAAGACACAAACTCCCACATGGCTTTCTGGGCCAGGATGAAAAGTTTTGGGCATCAGCCACCCCAGGTAACAGTGAGAGGTGTCAGCAGGTCAGGGTGTCAGGTGTGACATTTTCCCTCCACCTTAATACTCTTCCCTTGGCTGTGTTGCCCTTGTGAGAGTTTTGCCTCAGCTGGAAAAAAAAAAAAGTCCAGAGAAGACATTATCTTCAAGTTAAAGGGAAATCATTTTGGAATATATTAACAAAATAACAACTGTGAAATTTTGACCAACATAGCACGTGATCATGAACTGTAGCGAGGATATTACTTTTCCTTTAATTTTGCAAGATATTTCCTGTGATAAGTAAACTTAGTGCTTATTAAAGTACAGTGTATCAGCCCGGTGAATATACCCTGCGTACTGGTCTCAAAACTAGGTATGTTTTCCAAAAGATCTCATCACTGCAGGTATTTTGTTTTGAAAAGGACATGTTTTGAAGGATTAAATTCCTAGAATTTTGATATCTCATTAAATGAAATTATGGTTTTTCATACGCTAGGCTGTTTCTCACTCTAAGTTGAATCTTACAGTTTTCCCATCATTAGGGTCCCATCACAGTTGTCACTAGAGAGAACATTTGGGGAAGAACTTGATTAATGTGACTTGCTAAGTGATTATTTTGAGCTTTCTTTGTTCTTATTGCTTTTCTCCCACCATTACGTAGCATGTAGCTTTTGCCAAAAGAAGTAATAAGCTCTAGTTTAACACCATATATTCAGATACAATATGTTTTACACAGGGAATCTTTTGGGAAGAAACAAACAGAAAATGCCATCTCTACTAATGAAAGAGTCACCCCACCTCCAAATAATAAAGGGAGCCCCGCTGTAGTGAAGAATGCTGCTTTCACAGCTGAAGAGGAAGCCACTGGTGCTGTTGAGAGTAACAACAGAGGATCCCAAACTCTGAAAAAAATCAACAATGTGTGTGGAGAAGAGACTAAGCAAGAATTGTACCTTGTGGGGGACCCTTGGGCAGAAGTGAGTCCCAAACAGAAATACGTCAAAGACCTGGAGGAGAAGAGGAAGCGAAGGGAAGTAGAGACAGAGGAGGCTGTGACTCAGAGTTACTACCGGAGGTACGTGGAGGAGAAGAACTTTGAAGGGTCAAAGGCTGCATATCTAGAAAGGAAGGGCGTGTCCGAAAGGCCGAGCTACCCCGGACCCTGGTTAGCTGAGCATGAGACTTCTTTTAAAAAAACTTTGGAACCTAGTCTTAGCCAAAGGCCAGTTGACCAAAATGCAAATAGCAAAGAAAAAGAAAAGAAGACGTCTGTGGTTACCCAGAACTCGCCCGTGTGCAGGCAGGAGAGAGGCCATCCGAGACGAGGGGGGGACGAGGAGAGGGAAGTTGAACCGGTAGTTCAGGCCCAGGAGGAAGATAAAGCGGCCGTGTTCATTCAGAGCAAATACCGGGGTTACAAGACAAGGCAGCAATTAAAGAAGGACAGGATGTCATCTTCTTTTAAGAATCAGAAGATTGTTGCCGCACCAACAGAAGCAGCAAGAAACACTTGCAATGTGTATCCTCAGCCCACAAAACATGAGGAAACCTACAATATCAAGATGAAGGATAACAAAGACTCAAAAGCACTTTTAGAAAAAGAAGCATGTGATTTGGCAATTTTTTCCAAACAGGTATGTGAATAAACATTTATTTACTAGAAAAAAAGATCTCTGGGTACTACACACTAACTGAATTTAACAAATAATTAATAATTGGTAGATCATTTCATCTGTGTTTATGAGACTGTAAACCTTTTTAATTAAATGTCTTAAGGATTGTGCTATTCAAATAGCCATAAACTTTTAACCCAATTTACTATGATAAAAATAGTATAAAATGTTATAGAAACCTCATATAGTAAGGATACTAGCTTTATACAGCTTATTGAAATGCTGGGATTTGACAGTGTAAAGTTTGATGTATCTGTGAGATCTTTAGAGCTAAACAAATTTTTGTTTTAAGTTTTCTAAGTCCCCTAAAGTCTATGATTTCTCTCTTCCTAAAATTTAAGTTGAGAAGACATAATTCAGCATCAAATTTAGATGTGTAGCCATACTGGGCATATATGCAGTAAAAGTGAAAGTCCACATGTTTCATGACAAAACCACGGACAATAAGAAATCAGAAAGAAAAACCACGGAGAAAAATTCGCTCTTGGAGAATACCTTGTGCCAGTAGTAGGCATGTTTCCTCTGTGTCTACTACAAGCAGCAGTAGGTTTTAGGGCTTCTCGTGTTTATGCCTGTACCACGGGTAAATTTGTGCTACAGAAGGATCACGGGAACCAATTCTATAAATGCCAATTCCAGTTCTTCCTTCAGGTCCTTTAGTCCTTCTCTTTAGGTGTTTGACCTTAAGAAAATCACCTTATGTGCCAGCTCTGTTGTTTTCTCCTGTGTAAGGTTTTAACTAGATGACCTCTAAAATACATGAATCACCAGAGTCGTCAGTGGTGTAGAGTAATACAAGAAATACAGGTAATGGAAGAGATATCGAAGAAGGGTCGTTTGGTACCCTGTGTCCCTACCCTCTGCTTTCTGCCTCTGAAGGTGGCTGAGCCTCTGAGAAAGCACAGTAACTACCCGTGGCCCCTCCTTAGTGTTAGAGGTGGGCCGGGACGTCTCCAACTTCCAGCTGTCCATAGACATCTGCCATTGATTAATTTATCCAGTCCCTTCCTGGTCTTTTTTTTTTTTTAAGCACATGTAAATAGTGAGTTTGACATACATGCAGTCCTTCCTTTCCCTAGTGCATAAATTTTCTCACTCCAAAGACCAAATCAGGAATTAGAACCCAGACCTGCTATGCAACTGAGATGTTGCGGAGATGTAGAATTACGAAGTCCCCCACCTAGAGCTGGCTAACAACACCACGGGAGTGGTTCAACACTCCTCAGGGACAAAGCTAGAGGCAGAAAAGCAGGAGCCCCACACTCTAGCTGGCAGAACAGCCATGTCACCAGAGCTGGGATGCAGAAGAGACAGAGGTTGAAGGTAGGAAGAGAGGACCCAGAGGAGAGCAGCCCTGAAGTCAGGCTCTCTGAGATGCCAAGGCAGGAGAATCAGTTTACCTCAGGAGTTCGAGACCATCCTGAGCAAGAGTGAGACCCAGTCTCTACTAAAAACAGAAAAATTAGCCTGGAGTTGCAGCACGCACCTGTAGTCCCAGCTACTCGGGAGGCTAAGGCAGGAGGATTGCTTGAGCCCAGGAGTTAGAGATTACCGTGAGCTATGATGACACCACTGCACTCTACCCAGGGTGACAGAGTGAAACTCTGTTTTAAAAAAAAAAAAAAAAGACTGGAAAGGGAATGAGGGGTTTAACACAATCAAAGACAGCAGAGGGGTCCTCAGGTAGACACACCAGAAGGGCAAGGATGGAAGCCAGCTCTCGGGAACCCGGGAAGGGGTTGATCAGGATAGAATTCCGTGGGTGGTGTGATGTGTCCGGCAGTTTTTAATGAAAAATGCGAGATGGCCAAGTGGCACACACGGCACGTTATGTCGAATGAGGGCTTTACCTCAGACCCAGGTTCGAGTCCCCAGGGGTGTTAGTGAGGAGTTGATCAGCCCCCCGAGTGCCTGAGGAGCTCTCTGCATCCTTTTCCTTGATATAATCTGACACATGACCTTCTTTTTAGATATCAAAGTTGTCTGAAGAATATTTCATTCTGCAGAAAAAATTGAATGAAATGATCTTGTCACAGCAACTGAAGCCACTTTATGTGGGTGTCTCTCCCCATAAGCCAATTAATAGACGGGTTTCTTCTCAGCAGTACCTCTCAGGTAAAACCAGTGGCGTTAGAACTTCCTGAAGGGGAAGGAAATGCCAGATACTTCCTTTGTTTATTCATTTTCCACCTTTATTCTTTGGCAGATTTGAGGTGCCTGTGCTCTGTCTTGGGGAAAACCTTTATTTCATTTCATATCTTATATGCAGATACACGTTTTTCCAGAATGTTCTAGCCACCTCCTATTAAGTACTTTCTCTCATTTCATTTGCCTCCTCTTCTCATCTTTTTCTCCTCCCCCATCCCTTGTATTCACTCTCAGGGTCAATTTTTTTGAGGGGTGTTGTCCTGGTTTTTTGGCTCCTGGCTTGGAAGAATCTACTTCTTGGCACTTGACAGAGTGAGTACAGACACGAGCAACTCACGCGAGTAGTTTTTACTGCAGGCCTTTGAGCATGGAATAGAAAGTGAAAGGATATTTTTTGAGGGGAAATGGGTCTATCTCCATGAGTGGAGAAGACACTGGGGTCTTACCACCTTTTTGTTTTTATGTCTGTGTCTTATGATATGATAAATGGTAGGTGGAATATTAATTGTTTTTCTGGGAAAAGGGTGGAGAGTTTTTAGAGCTAAGGGCCCTCCCCAATTTTATCCTTATAGGGAACTTTCAGGGGTTGCCATGGCATTTGTAAACTGTCGTGGCACCGATGGGTGTGATTTTTACTGTGTTAGTGGGTGTTAATGGAGAAAAGATTGCTTTGAACGTGAGCTCCCAGTTTCTGTGTATGCTCCTGGCTGGGAGACGTCCCTACCCTCAAGTTCCTATTGTCGCAGGTTTGGTTTGAAATGTTCATTTTTGTCCCCCTCCGCTTTTTCTGTGGTTACTGCTGCCCACCTACACCTGTCCCTAACATTGACTTTCACTAGAACTTGTCAGATGACACTAGAGGGAATGAGAAGGGGTGTGTGGAGAGGGGTCTGGGGGGCAGCTTTCATAGGAGAGAGTTAGCACTGAAATATTTTTCTTTTGTCAACATCTGTGACCTTGAGTATATAGAGTACAGAAGATGCACATCTCTTTTCAGATGTACAAAGCCCAATACGTGAGAAAGACCTTTATAAATTTTCTTCTAATCAACCTCAGCCACACTGTGGCCCCATTATACTAAACTGGTGGGGCATTCAGTCTCAGTGGAAAATTCCTAGGGCCTTACACACCACCAAAGGATCAGGTAGAGCCTGCAGCCACTGGTCATTTGCCCGTGATGGTACTGTTGGGACACTTGTGGTTCCTATTCAAGTCCAGACACCCTGCTGCTCCCACGCCCTGCAGGCGGCACCTGGAGACTGGAGTCTGGACTCTCACCTGTCCACACCTGCTCCAGGTAGCCGTCCCCCCTGCAATCTTATCACCTCCCCCTGGGACTGTCAGGCTTGGGTCCCACCTTGCACCCTGAGCTGCCATGGATAAACTCTAGCCACCCACCACCTTGAACTGAAATAATTGGTTAAAGAATTATTTTATTTGTTTTTATTAATCCTTCTTAATTGTGTATATAGTTCACATTTATTTTAATGTTTAATATTAGAAGTGTTTTGGTCTTTATTTAGAAGTTTGGTGATGTTATTGTGGACCAGAAATATGCCATAGAAAGTTAACTCTTGTTTATGTCAATTAGCAGGTGGTAAAATTGGTTTTATTGTACGTCATTTGCTTAGTTGCAGTTTCTAAGAACCCATCAACATTGTTAAGTGAGGACTTACTTATGATTGATATGTCTGTTCAAAGAATTACCTTCAAAAAGTTCCAAGAACTCACAGTGTTTTAGGCAAATGCATTCAAACATCCATGGAACAGATAATTTCCATACTGTGAGATCTGTTTGAGGAAAAAAAAAGAAAAATATGGAAAGTTACCTATTTTATATAGTTCATCTCTCCTAGAACAAAAGTCTGACAAATAACATTTTTTAAAAAGCTATGGATCAATCTCAGTTCTGAATTTAGAGGTAAAACTCCTGATTATCATGCTAACTAATGGAATGCAATAGTACATTAAAAACCTGTCCAAATAATACATATTAATATAGCTTATCAAAAGGCCAAAAGAAAAAAGTCATCTTGATAAATGTTAAAACAGGTTTCAATAAAATCTAACACTCAGTACTGATCTCTTACTAAACTAAAAATAGAAGGATATGCTTTAACCACATGAAGAATTTATTTCTTCTTTTTTTTTATTTCAGCACATTATAGGGGTCCAAATGTTAAGGTTACATATATTGCCCGTGCCCCCCCTCAAATCAGAGCTTCAAGCGTCACCATCCCCCAGACAGTTGCACTCATTATGTATGTATATACCAATCCCCTCTTTCTCCCTCCCACCAAGGATATATTTCTTAAACCAACTGTCAACATCATAATTAACTATAAAATGCCGGAAGCAGTTTCATCAAAAATCAGGGTTAAGAGAAGAATTCTGGTAGGATGCAGTGGCTCATGCCTATAATCCTAGCACTTTGGGAGGCAGAGGCAGAAGGATCGCTTGAGGCCAGGAGTTCAATACCAGCCTGAGCAATAAAGTAAGACCTCGTTTCTACAAAAAATAGGAAAGTTAGCTGGGTGTAGTGGCGTGCACCTGTAGTTCCTGCTACTGGAGAGGCTGAGGCAGGAGGATCACTTGAGCCCAGGCATCTGAAGTTGTAGTGAGCTATGATGATGCCACTGCACTCTACCCTGGGCAACAGGGTAAGACTCATTCTCAAAAAAAATAAATAAATAGAATAAAAATTTAAAACAACACATTTTTATGTTATTTGGAAATTTCTAGCTAATGCAATAAAAGAGCAAAGAGAAGTTTCTGAAAAGCATAACTATGAAAAAGGAAAAAATAGGAATATTATTTGACAACATGAATTTTACATTAAAGATGCAAACAACAGACCAAAATAATGATTTGTACTAGCAGTAAGGATATATAGATATAGATATACAGATATTCTTTCCTATAAAAATTTATAATGAAAAAGGACCTCATTGGAAATCACAGCAAAAAATAATATAATGACTTGAAATAAACTAAAAATAAAACCACAAAGAAACAAAAATGAAGAGGTGCATAATGGAATGATACATTGTATTACTGGACTGGAAGATAAGATATTTTAAACATGATCATTCTAAAATTACTTCGTAGGTTTTAAAAAAATTATATTCAAAGTTTCTATGAGATTTTCTTTGGAACTTAAGAAAATGTCCCTAAGGATATAAATGAGGACTTTCTTATTAGATAGGAAGATGAGTAATATAATGCTGTAATAATTAATACCATATGCCTCTGTGTAAAACTCAATCACAAATTAATGGAACCGAGTAGCCCTAAAATTGATGTGAATATTCATAAAAACCTGTACTTACGAAAAGATACACAAACCAATAAGAAATGGATGGGTAATGCTTAAAATTTCTCTGATTTAAGGAGAAAAACTAAGAGTCTTACCTGATGATGAATACCAAAATATTTCCCAGATGCATTAACCATTTAAATATAAGAAGTAAACAAACAAACCAAAAGAAACCAGATGTTATGAACTTAGTGTTTCACAATCTCTGCTTAGAAAAGGACAAAGCAGGCCGGGCGCTGTGGCTCACGCCTGTAATCCTAGCTCTTGGGAGGCCGAGGCGGGCGGATTGCTCAAGGTCAGGAGTTCAAAACCAGCCTGAGCAAGAGCGAGACCCCGTCTCTACTATAAATAGAAAGAAATTAATTGGCCAACTGATATATATATATAAAAAAAAATTAGCCGGGCATGGTGGCGCATGCCTGTAGTCCCAGCTACCCGGGAGGCTGAGGCAGAAGGATCACTCGAGCCCAGGAGTTTGAGGTTGCTGTGAGCTAGGCTGACGCCACGGCACTCACTCTAGCCTGGGCAACAAAGCGAGACTCTGTCTCAAAAAAAAAAAAAAAAAAAAAGAAAAGGACAAAGCATAAGACCTAATAAAAGGAGTTACAAAGAAAAACTGATAGATTTTTGCATAAACATTAGAACCTTCTAGATATTCCAAAGCATTGTTAATAGTTAAAGAGCTGAAGACAAACTAGTTAAAATATTGAGAACAAATGTAAAAAGTTAATATGTTTAATGTAGAAAGAGCTCTTATCATTAGCAAAAGCATTAATATTCCCAATGGAAAAATGGGCACAAGCTGTTAATTTATTTACAAATGAAGAAAGACAGACAGAAAACAAGCATACGTGTGAAAACTCTAGGACTGAAAAAAATTACAAATGAAAACAAGTTACTAATTTTTACTCATCAAAATGGCAAGTATGAAAAAACATTTTAACAGTAATTAGAATGTGCTAATTTCATTATTCTCAAACATAATGGTGAAGTGGTGAAGAGTCAACATTTTGAAAAGTGATTTGGCAATATGTAAAAACAAAACAAAACAAAACACTGAAATAGTTTATATCATGGACCCAGTAAACCTACTGACTAGAAGATAGCCTAAGGAAACAATCAGAGCTGGAAAAAAAAATGTAAGTACGTGGCAAGAAATAAAACTGGACAATAAGAGAATGATTAATAAGTAATGACACATTCATATATGGAAAATTCATTTTTCAAAGAATAACCTTAGCAAACTGCTAGCAATCTAACTACAGAACAAAATATTGCAGACTTGGAATTGGAATACTGTAAATAGGTCAGTTCTAATACGTGAGGTGGTTCACTAACAACAGCACCTAAACATAGAGTTCTAGAAAAGCCAAGTGACCAGTTGAGTAAGAAAAAGGTACTCTCCAATAGCGTGAACACTCTTCATCCCTTGCTGACTTCATTCTGTATAAATTAAGAATCTGAACAATATTGCAACCTGGCATAGCACTTCCACAACCAAATATGATCAGACTAGACTAGTGTCATCCCCAGATAAGTCATCTTTGCTGCAGACTGTCTTGAGCCACTGCAAGGTTGCTTGCTATTTCCTCCTGCCAGTTTGTGACCAGACATGCTCCAATAAGGAATGATGGCTTTTCAAAACTACTGG